ACTGAGAGCTGGTGATTTGTTACGGCAGCAACAGGACGCGTAGGGGACTTACGCGAATAACCATACACAGCTGAGGCCCCGGGGGAGCGGCAGAGGCCCCACCTGCGCTCCAGATGGGCCGTGCAGCGAACAGAGCCCAGGGCCCAGACCACCGGCAACCGCTGTGCCCCACGGAGGCAGACACGGTCGCCCAGGATCCCGAGAGGAGGCCACGTGTGTGCTGGTTCCCAGGACAAAGAAACGGAAGCAGGGGATTCAACGGAAGAGGGAAGCGTGCGTGAGACGCGGGAGGAACAGGGCTGTGTGGAGAATGGCAGGGGTGTCGGGACACAGCGGGCCGGGGCTGGGGTCCCCACAGGCAGGACTCTGCAGGGCTTGGACTCCGGCCGAGGAGCCCTCACTGAGTGTGTGGCTCAGGAGCACCACCCGCCCGCGTCTTTGATGACAAGTTCGGGGGGAGGCAGCCACGGAAGGCAAGAGAGTGGGCAGTGACAGGCTCAGCTGAGGCCGCGGGCGAAGGTGGGTCCCTGCTCCACGGAGGCCCTCAGGGTGCGCACAGTCCTGGGACCGCAGTGACTGGGTGAGATCGGGGATTCTGTGGCCCCATCGGTCCAGTCCTGACTGTGCCCCACCGAGCCAAACTTAAAATAACATTTTCTATGAAAAAGACAGGCATGGCTCCCCAGTTAAACCCCGGGCATCTCCTCCAATCCGCGTCCAGCACAGACATTCTTTCCTTGTTTGCCCCACCGTCAAACGCTGGCATCTGGGTGACACCGGAGACGGAATGTCTCTGCTTTATGAGAAGAGAGATTAGCACCGCCAGCGGTGTGTGACATTCCCAGCCATGCGCTGCCACCCTGCCCTGGCTGGTGTCGCCGAGGGTGATGGGACCCGGCAGCTGCTCCGCTCTCTGCTGAGCTTGCAGGTAGAAAGGCCAGGGGGCGGGTTTCCGAGGAAAAGAAGCCCGCGCCCGGGATGGAAAGCAGCCCCGGCCTTCCCAGGACCAGGGCCTCGGACGCCGCTGCAGACGCGGGGCCGCAGGCAGGGAGCCACCCCGATGCCCGGGTCCCTCGGTTCTCCGCCCATTGCTCAGCTCATAAAAGGAGAACAAATGATCAGAACTCCCTAAGAGCCGGGCGCCCAGAGGCTCCCTTTCTAACCCCGAGGCGACATGTCAGAGCTGCCGTGGGTGTGGAAGTGGGGATATGGGCGACGTTTCTTTTTCTTGTCTTTGATGTGATGTTTTCAGCGCACTGTCCGCACGAGTCACACACGAGCATTTCCTGGCAGTGCCAGGGCGCCGCTGGGCATCCCGGTGCCTGAGGGGAACGGTGGCCGCGCTCCCGCCCACCCTCCAGGGGGCGCCTGGTGCACAGCAGCCCCATCACTCACACCCGGTGGGACAGGAAAAGAGGACAATTCCTTCTCCTCTGCTCAGGGCGGCAGGGGCCTGCCCGGCGCCACGGGCTGGAGCTCAGCGCTGGGGGTGCTTCTCCCGCCCCCTCTGGACCCCTGAGAAAGCAGCGCGCCCCCCCTCAGGCCTCCAGGGCCACGAGCACCCTCGGCCCAGGGGCGCGAAGCTCCGTCTGCAGGGACCTGAGCCGGGAGGTGCCCCTTTAGGCCGCAGCGCTCCCTGCAGCCGGTGCCGGACGCGCGGCTCCGAGGAGGGACTGGCCCCCAGGACGCCGAGGGGGCAGCGTCCTGCCTGGACAGCGGCACCTGTCGCAGCCGCACGCTCGCGCGCCGCAGAAGGACGTTGCACTCCAGTCGGACCCACGGAGCCCGCAGGGCCCCCGGAGGCAGGAATTCCTGCACCTGCAGCAGCCCGGGGCCTGCTGACGTCACAGCGTGCTGACGCCACAGGCCTGCTGGCGCATCAGCCGTGCTGACGTCACAGGGTGCGTACGTCATGCAGCATCCCGGCGTTATAGAGTCATCACGCACGTGTTTGCAGGGTGACGTGCTGCCCAGGCTTGCGGCGCAGGGGCAATGACCTCAGCACGTCGCCCAGGTGCGCCCAGGTGCGCCGCAGGCAGGGACAGCTAGGTTTGCGGAGGGGCCCCTATGATGTTCGCACAGTGATGGAGTCACTTAACGAGGCATTTCTCTGAAACGTGCCCGCTGGTTAAGCCGCGTGGGACGGTTCCCGGGATGCTTTACCTCTCACTGCCCCCCCCCC